TTATTATAAAGTAAAAAAACAATATATATGTCGATCATCATGTGATTATTCGAAAATCAGAAAGTCTGCTATGCTATATTGAAGTTGAAAAGTTACAGAATTACTTATTAGTCGAAAAGATAATATTGATGATAAATTAGAATCGCGGCGTATGTATGCTATAAGAATTGATTTCCAAAAAGAATCTACCAGACCGTTTATTGCCTATTGGGTTGATGAACCTCTCGACATTCAAATTCTGGAATGTATTGAAACTATATTTGAGGATCAGTTTGAAGCAATTTACCAAGTAATATCACTCGAAGATAGTGAAGATAGTAATGAGGATCAGAATAAAATAATGAGAATTAATTGTGATAGTAGTCATAATGATGATGGTTATGGTAATAACAATAGCTATGATATAGCAATGATAATAGCAATAACAATTGTAATAACGATAGTGGTAGTGATGGAGACGGTGATGGTACAATAGAAAAGGTAAAAGTGGTAATGGAATTACTCTGTTATTTATCAAACATTTACCATGACTGCTGTTTTTGGGCAGAAATTATACATAATATTCTAAAATTTAAGGTTGAAATAAATGATTGCAAACTGGAAATATGCTTAGCAGTTTTAATTCGCCATTATTTAAGAAGCATTGTTATGTATGGCTATTTTATTTATTTTATTGAAGTTCGTGTCTCCACCAAGCAAAAGTTTTTAACTTTTCACGTCCGAAACTTGTATTACACCGATCATCTTGAAATAACTTTTAAAAATCTTGAAGATTCCAATACAAAATTAGCAAAGCTCGATAATAACGAGATTTATCATAATAAGAACAATATCGATATTATTATTCAGAATTTGAATGATAGCACCGAAATGAAACAAAGTAAAATCGCATAAATTTTAAACTTCTATTGGCTAATTTAACAAATAATCATAAGAATATTCAATTATTCACTTTGTGGTCGCGAAGAAAGAAATGGAATCAAATTTCGGTATTATGTAGGAAATAAATTGAATTTGAATTTTTTGTATATGATTTAAAACAATGCAAATATAATCCTCCTAATCTGCTTATTAAAAATTGGATACCATAAAGATATAATATCTAAGTTAGCATTAATCTCTTCATTTTTTAGCCATAGTATTTCAAAATGCTTTTCCATCTCCTAGATTACCATCTCATCTTATCAGAACGACATTTCGATTTTTCAACACTATTTTTGTTAAAAACCAGGTCATATTCCCGAAGGTCAAAATCCTGAAGTATCAATAATAATACAAAGTATAATATAATTATGGTTTATTAGTACAATATTCGATTTGCATCGCACAATATTATTAAACTTTCTTTCGATATTATAATGCATTGTAAAATTATTATTGTAGAGCACCGCATCGAAAAAAGTAGAGATTTGGCCGGAACCTCAAAAATGCTAAAATTTTAAAGAAAGTCTACTATTAATTGAATGTAAATTTTTAAATTATTAAATTGCATTGGAGAACTTTTATTTTATCATTCCTTTTTTGTGAAAGTACAATTTTCCATTTCGCAATTTCATTGTTTTAAATCATATGAAATATATGGTTGGTCATAATATTTAAAAAGTTGTCAAGGATTTAATAAACTCTATAAAATTGTCTTAAAGCAATATGGGGTGGCGTGCAGGAATAATATTATTCGGGATTAATTATGACCTCAGGAATTTAACACTTCTATTTTTCATATTAGCAATTTCACCATTAAATGAATAAATAAATAGACATTATGGAGAAATGGGTGGTGTGCTATTAAAATTGAGGTACGGATCATATGATTTATTAAGTCTCGTACCTCAATTTTAATAGCATACCACCCAAATTCTTATTGAAGTTAACTAGCTTTGGTTCATTAATCCTAAAAATTCTCTTGACAGCAATCGTATTATGCAGTATAAATTTCTTCTTATTAAACTTCTTATAAATTTCTATAACTACCAATGTGATAAAATAATTTTTTTTGAGAATATTTATTTGTTGCGGGCGCGATGATGTCGCCCTGATTTACCATATCACGTGTTATATTTATTGCTATGATGTAGTACTGATCACGTGTTACTGCGATTATATTGTTTGTTTTCTGGCCAGGCCTCATTTTTTTCGTTCAAAATTTTTTATTTCCTATTTGCTTGTATTATAGTATCCCTTTCAAATCATTTCCCTTTTCCTTAGAACGCCTGTTTACCAATTGGTATATTTAGATTTTAGGTTCGTAAGTATTAGTTAGGGCTCGTTGGGCTGCTCAATAGGATTAGTTAGGGTTCGTTAGGGTTCGTTAGCGCTTATTAGGGACGTTAGGGCTCATTATTATTCATTAGGGTTCGCTAGGGTACGTTTGAGAGCTTTTAAATAGTAAAGCAGATAGTAGTAAGATGTAACAGGCTAATATTGATAGCGAAGAAAAAAGAATTGGAGTAAATGTCGTATATGTCTTGAAACAAGACATTATTCTCCGAAGTGCCCCAATAAGGAAAATCAATACTATAAATAAAGAAAAAAAGCATAATCAAATCTTTTTTTAAAAAAAAAAAATTTAGCTTGCGGCGTATCACGTGATTTATCTCTTTTTATAAAATAGGAAATGTCAGTTGATAAATTTTGATTGGTTTGGATAATTCCTATATATGTATAGAACAGGATTTTCAAAATTTTTTTTCCCAAAAGACTTTACTTTCAAAATTTATGAAATAAAAATGTCGAAACAATTTTTCTCTAAATTAAGCCAAAATTTTATTGAAATATTAGATGACAATGAATATTATGATATTACAATCGAAGCAGGGGAAGACCCAAACGTAAAAATATTCCGTTCGCACATGATCATATTGTGTTACCGTTCTCCTTTTTTTCGACGAACTTTGGCTTCCAACAAAAAGGACAATGATGACGTCTTAACTCATATAAAGTTACCAAACATTTTACCGGAAACCTTACAAATTATTTTGAAGTAAGTTATGACTAGAAAATTCATGTTACTTTATTCTGATATTCTAAATTTATAATAACCTTAGAAATATTATAATAAAGATATATTTATGGCGGAATCATTTCATTAGATGAGTATGAAACCTCGGATATTTTTGAGGTTTTGATTGCGGCTAATGAGCTTCTCCTTCTAGAACTAGTTGAATATTTACAAAAATATTTAATTAATAACAAGTTTGAATGGATAGAACAACATTTTGAACGAACTTACTCAAAAATTTTTCAATCTAATTCTTTATCTGAACTTCAACAATTTTGTACAAAACTTATTGCCGAATCACCTGAAAAGGTATTTAAATCACTTGATTTTACTTCTCTTTCTGAAAAGGCCTTAATTTCAATTATCAAAAGAGATGACTTACAAATGAAAGAGGTTGAAATTTGGGAACACATATTAAGATGGGGTCTTGAAAAAAATCCCACACTCATTTCTGATCCTAAAGCTTGGTCAGATGATGATTTCAAAATGATGGAGAAATCTTTACAATCTTGTTTACCCTTAATTAGATTTTTTAGTTTATCTTCCGAAGAATTCATCAAAAAAGTTCATCCATATAAAAGACTTTTGAATTATCAACTTTATGAAGATTTATTATCTTCTTATTATGATCCAGAAAGTGAGCCATGTGATGGCATTTTACTTCCTAGGCATAGGAATAGTGATGGAATTATTGATACAACAATTGTTAATTTAAATATTGTTTCCGTGATTTCAAGATGGATTGATAAAGCAGATATTAAAAACAAATTTACCCATATTAGAGAATTATATTTACCGTACGAATTTAAATTGTTATTAAGGGGAAGTCGAGATGGTTTTACTCCAAAGAAATTTCATGAATTATGTGATGATATTCTTTGTACAGTTACGTTCATTAAAGTAAATGGAACAGAAGAAATTCTTGGTGGGTATAACCCTTCAATATGGAAAACCCCTTCGGATGATTATGAAATTGGTAAAACTAAAGATAGTTTTATATTTTCTTTTAAGAATAAGGATAATTTCAACGATTCAATCTTAAGCTATGCAAAGGACGCACGTTTAGCGTTATTTTATAGATCTACTAATGGTCCCACTTTTTTTGGTGATCTTTGTTTAGGAAATGATTATGAAAAAGATACAAAAGATTATAATCATAATTATTGTCGTAGTTTAAACACATATGAAAAGGCGATAAGGGATACGGATGAGACATTCTCAATAGAAGATTATGAAGTATTTCAAATTTTGAAAATCAGGACTTAATAATCCAAATTTAGATCTATTATTCTAGAATTACCAATTTTATTGTGAAAATGATCTTTTTATTTTCTTATCGAATTTTCAAATTTCTATGAGATTTAATCGGATTATTGACCGTAATAAATAGTTACTCGGCAAAAGCGGCGCAGTTATTAAGTATTGCATCACATCGTAACATAATTAATAACGAGTTATACTGACATAAATCTTCAAATAATGAAAATTAATATCCTGATTTGCACTATAATTCTGAAATATACAGTTTTTGCATCATTTGCATTGAAAAAAAAGGCACTCGGTAATTTTTGGAAATTGGAAATTACTTCCAGATAATTTTTTTTTTATTTTATGTTAAATTAATCAAAATGGTTGGGTTTATTTTTTTATTTAATAATTATTGTTTACAAACAATTTACAAAACAAATATTAATCCTTATCTGGGCGCTCATAGTAAATTACAGAGCAAGAGCAAACAAAAATACTCTAATAAGAAATTTAAGATTTATAAATTATTGTGTAAATCTTTTATTTAATTTTCTATACATAATATTGTTTCAGATTTTAAAGTGATGGATAATGCCTCGCCACTCATAATCTTATTTAATTTATCAGTAAATTTTGAAATGGCAAATTTCATTCATCTTTTATTTTATCTCCAACAATAAAAGGAAATTTCTTCAACGGTTGTAAACTGACATCCCAGTGTAATAGCCATTATTCTAATTCTATTTGGGTATGCTTAAACTACATGTTTCACACTTTATGACATCTCTTGACATATCTTCTAAATCTTCAATTTTTAATAAAATTTTTTGCCAAGTTGACGATATATCTCCAAATTGATTTAACTTCATTTTATTTGTATCCACATATCCAAAAGATAAAAAAAAAATAAAATAATAAAAATAAAAAAGTGAATGTATACTTAGTCGGCAGCTGGAACACGTTGAACGAATTATTTCTCCTTTAATAAACATCTGTTCGTCACGTCATTTTTACAACCAGAACGCTGCATTTTCATGATTAAATTAATTTTAATATCTGCGGGTGCGTCTGTTATATTAATACTATAAAAGAATAAGGTTATTATTGAATAAAACATATACTTTTAACTTAAATTTAATTTTTATTGAACTTGGTATTGAAAATACAATAATCCATATAATGTTTCAATTGATTTTAAAGTGTTTATATTTTTAAGTTCCCAAAAAACTATTATAATAGGGATTGAAATCGATTCTGCCAAAATCGAGTTAGAATTGAATCTATTTATTAGTAACTATAATAAAAATAGGGATGCCTATAATTGAAACTACACTAACTATCACAGTATAAAATTATTGATCATTTATATTATTTATATAAGGAAATAACAAAAAATAATTACAAAATATATAACAAAAAGATCTTAATCAAATAAAAAAAAATACTTACCTATTCCTCCCAAACTAAAAAGAACTATAAAATTGATTTTCATAATTAATCAAAAAGAAATTAATTAGATAAGATATGATATTGATGTGATACATTTTTGATGATTCATTCAACCATTATTCAGTTTTCATTCAATTTGTATAGTTAGTTGTCAGATCTTGATCGATATATGTGGCTGATTTCAGTAATGCATCTTGAGCAAATTTAATTTGAAGTTTATATAATTATTATTATTACTATAGCTACAGCTAGAGATTGGACTTGCACTCATGTAACTAGAGTAAACTTGTGTCAATTTCTAACTCAAGTCATTTTTTTATAAACTCAAGTTATATGTTTTATAATTTGAGTTGACTCGAGTATGAGTTAACTCGAGTCAATCTTTTTTTAAAATTATTTTTAATTATTTAAAGTTAATAAATATTCCTTCTTTTGTTTCACATTTTGTAAAGATTTTTGAAGATACTGTTTAAGAAATATAATTTCTTTTTTAAGAGATGTTATCTCATCTTCATGATCTATGATAGTAGAATCTTGCTAGAATATAATCTTATAACATTTGTTTACCTTTTTATAAAGTTTGTGAATTTTTTTTTCAGAACATCTATTTGTTGCTATTTCTTCAGCTAATTCTTTGTGCAACTCTTTATTAGTATCAAGAAGTTCGATGTAAGCCTCTTCCTATTCCTTAGTCATTGACCTTCAGAAGGATGAGTTCATAAAGAGATCTAGCCTAATCACTTTAAATATTAATGTATTAATTTTGGTCTTTTTTCAAATGAATATTAGAAAAATTGTTGACTCCTATTATACATATAGATTCGAATAAAACTAGAAATTTAGATATATTTATCGATTTGCAAATAGATTTATTACATACTTTCAGGTTATTAAAGAATTGTGAAAAAATTGCATAAAGTTTCTCTAAAAGCTGTGTTCAATTTTATTTAAATAAATGTGTAATGATATCTGATGAAATTACCTTCTTAATATAACAAAATTGACAAAACTGAAATGACGAAACTAGTTTTTTATTAATGATGAAATTATTTTACTTAATTGCTAAAATTATATTTAACTTAATCTAAATTTTTTGAATTAAAATACATTAAAAAATATAATAATTTATATTTACTCATATAAAAATATTAAAAAGACGAAACTTTTGATGAAATTGCAATTTTTTAAAAAAGAGTTTAGTTATCATTAAAAGTGTATAGTTTGCTTAAAAGACAAGCTGTACATAGATTCATATATCTATGACAAAATAAAATTTGTGTGTAAGTTTTAGATCTATTACTACTCCTAATGAGATATATCAAGCTACATGCCTTATAATAAAATAGGACAGGTTACCTATTTATTTTACTTTAATGTGATGAATGTTGATAAGCTTAAACTGTTCGTCATTAAGTTAACAAAGATTATTTGCTAGCAGGGAGTTTAAGTACGTCTAAACTATGAAAGAAATAAATACGAATTAATTAAATTGAAGGATCAGGTCATCTTTATTAATATAAATTTAAAGAAGAATGATCTATTTAATGAGCAAACATAAGTTTTAAGGATAAAATATTGATTTATTAGAGTTTAGCAGATTAAAGATACAGAGTATTTATACAAAAATAAATAATAGTAAATAAAATATGATAAATATAATAAATATAATAAATATAACTAATCTATTTAAACTAACAAATATAATATATATAATAAATATAATAAACCTGATAGATCAGTCAAATATGACTAAATTTGTCATATTTGTCAAATTTGTCTAATTTTTCATATTGATTAGATCAGCTAATCAATTTAAATTACATGATTGGTTATATTTGATAGGTACAGCATGAATCACACCTTTAATATGGCTTTAAGGTATAAGTATCTATTCTTAAAATAGACAGGCATCTTAACTTGTCACATTATTGCTAAGATTCTTAAGGAAAATATGATGACTTTAAATATTTTCTTACTTGGCTAAAAGTATTTTTAATAGAAAAGAGTTTAGAGTTTAGGAGTAATTGTGAGAAATTAATAAGAGATTATAATGTAAAAATTCAGAAAGCCAGATCTAAGCGTACTATAAATATTGTTAAAAGATATAATCAAATCTTAATTGAGAGATTATTTTGTTCACAAATACTTCTAACTTATTATATATAGATAAAAATTACAGGCTTGAGTTAAGAAATCTTTCAATAATTGTTGATAATATTAATAATTCTGAGACATACCTTCTTGGTATTTTTCAACAGTTATGATAAAAGATACAAAGTTGTTGCTAAATCTTTCAAGCCTCAAAATAGTGCTATAGAATATTATAAAGAACAACTAATTGTGATGTACTTGTAAAATACTTACTTAAATTTGATGTGTTAGATAGTAGAAGAATATGTGCTGGAGATTGGTTTTCCTAAGTTTATCATATTTGTAAATCTTTGATACAAAAAAATCATCTAGACTTATATTGGCTAGAAGATGATAAATATTGTGGTCCTGAAAGATCTTTTGTGAAAGAAGAATTTCAAATCATTTATCCTGACTCAAAATAACTTTCCTAGTAAATGCTTACAAAATAAATAAATCCTCATGTATTTTATCAGCTTGTTCTTTTAAAATAAAATAATCTTTAGCTAACCTATAGTATAATTATTATAGTTTTATAATAGTATTAAGAATTTTTAAATCTTTATTATAATAAGATTTATAATCACTCAAAATTTGCTTATATTTGTCTTCTGTTGAAAATGGTTTACTCAGATTTTCTAAGATATATAATTTGGAATCCTTTGTCTGATATAATTCTATAATACACTTTTTATAATTTTACAGAATCTTACCATCTTTTGGTCTTTCACAGAGAATTCCTGCCTTAAGCATTTTGATTAAAGTTTTTTCAACTTACTGGAAAGTGGACTGATCAATAATTTCATACTTAATCATGATTAAGTTATCATTTATTAAACTTTTATTTAAATATCTTATACTTATTATATAAGAAGGTATATCTGCCATTCACTTTTCTATACTATATTACAGATAATTTTGTTTAATTAAATTTTTTCATCCTTATTATAAATGAAGGCATTTTATACTTGTGACTATCTTTATAATTTTGACAAGATTTGTGATTATGCCTGTATTTGACTGAAAGAATGTCATCAACATTAAAAGACTAGAAAGTGCTATCCTTGTATTAATTGTAGAAAACCTACTGCTACAACTTGTAAACAGTATGCTGAATATATTAGAGGATACTATATAATGCAATATTATAATAAATTGTGAAACAAAACTCAGAAATTAGACTTGATAAAAGGCAAGACCCTCTCTTATACTTTCTGAGAAAAAAAGGAGGTAAGACTTAGCACATATATATATACTTTAAAGGTGAAACTTAGAGGTGAGATTTATTAGTAATACAAGTTTTTATTCTTAATGTTTGTGAAATAGAAATAATTCTAGGTTGTTTTCTTGTATATCAAAAAAATAGTAATATATTAGAATTTATTCATCAAGCTTTTAGTTTGTAATTTAGATAACAATTAAGTCTCACTTCTGAAAGATGAAATTTAGTATATCATATATATAATCAAATATGAATCAACTTTAGAATTAATTCTAAGATGTATTTTAAGCTTACAATGATCATAAACTCAAATATTTTGTCACTTCATTCCTCAATATTCTTGTTTACTTCTAAAAGTAAGAAGTATAATATAAAAATTATTATACATATTAGGTTTGCAAGAATAGTAGACTTAAATATTTATCACTTTATTTCTTAATATTTTCGTCTACTTTCAATGGCAAACAGAATATTAAAATTTTTTGATATATTATTTGGATTAAAATCAGGCTAGAATAGCTATAGCAAATAATGTAATTCTTAGTATTAGATAAGCTATTGGTGTTCATCTTTAATAGTTATGATATTTATATTTTTGAATTTAATGAAACATTCAATAAGATTATTTCTAGATATTTTTATCCTAATACTAATGAATTTCTTACAAAAAAATACTTCCAAAACTAATTTTGAAACCTTTGAAATTATCCAGAATATATTGACATGATTAATTTAATATACTTTTAAGCTCAAGAAAGCATTTGTAGAAATGGATGAAGTAAGAATCGATAATACTATCGAACATGAGTAAAGTAAATAGTTAGATATTTATCTTGATTGAAGACACTATGATAAATTATTGAATCTGTGACTATTATATTTGAAATTTCCTAATCATTACTCAAGGTTCATTTTTATTTTTTTTCAATTATTCTAAATCTATATTTTAATAAACCTTTTTTTGATATTTACGCTATAAGTTATACAAAACCTATTCATATAATTCAAGTTTATAGTTCTAGAAAAAGTAAATTCATTTAACGAATTGGACAGACCAGGAAATTCTTTCAAAAAGGTTTATATTTTATAAATTATTCACTAAAATATCAAAGAAAAAGGTCAATTAGTTTAGTTGTTTCCTGTTTGAAATTTACAAAGTATAATTCTAATTACAATTACTGGAAGGAATTATTTTTACTATCAAAAGATAACCCATTTGTTATTTTTGATGACCAAACGTTTTATGATAGTTAAAATGCTAGGACATTAATTAATTTCAAATGGAATACATTTAGAAAAATATATTATAATCTATAATGAAAACTGTTTACCATTTTTTTATTCACTTTCTGAATAGGCTCAAACTTGTCTTTATATATAATGTCAGATGATACAAGAAATAACTTATTTAGAATTAGCTTGATTCTTATTTCATTACTTATATTTCATGAAGTAAGACAATTTATCTGAGATCTGAAAAGATATATCCTGATTCCATAGAATTGGATTGGTATATAAATAAATATTTATTAATTCAATTTAAAAATAATTTATATGTAATATGTAATATACATATAATTTCCCCGTTTTTATTGCCTGTTATTGGTTATATCATGATAAACCTCCATTTCTATATCAAATATATCCTTAAATTTTAAATTTATCACATTTTTGTAAAGTCTTAATTATTTTAGCAATAATTTTACTATTATTTTGAGTTTAGCTCAGATGATATCTTCTATCTTGTTAATCTTATTTCTTTTTAATTGGATTTGCACATGCTTTTAATATTTTGAACCAAATGAAATTTACAATTTGAATGAACCTGTTTATAATGATAATTCAAATAATTTCTGGAATCTCATTACGATATATTAATCAATTTTCTACTTATTCTTCTTCACTCTTTGTAATCTATTTGTTTTTAACAGAACATTATCAACATTTGACTCATATACATATCAGAAAAATCAATTCATAACAATTTTGTTAATTATGTTTTCATTCCTAATTGTAGTTTATCTCATGAATTTATTTATTAGGTTTCTTAACTTACTTAACTTGAAAATTGAAAAGAATAAAGCATATTGTCTGTTTATGATTTGAAAAGTAAAAAGTATTGGGTGAAATCAAACTATTTTTCTTACTTCTAATCAACAAAGGTAAAGACTTTGTATTTCAGATGTGATATAAATTATTAATCATAACGCATACAAATGGACAGTGTTGACCTTTGGACTAATTGACTATTAGACTATTAGACTTGGTTCATTTTAATTCCATTAAAATTTGGACTATTGGACTATAGTTTTCGTCCAACAGTTATTAATTTATATATTAATTTTAATAATTATAAAATTTATAATATGTAAAATCATTTTTATTGATATTTGTTAGAATTTTTTATTAAACTCATTAATTATTACCTAATATAAAAGTTGACAAATAATTAGATTCCCCTAAACTCTCAATAAATATATCTTGGAGTTTTTATTTAGAATTTTGATCTCTTGTAGGATATGGTAAATTTAAATATTTGCAACATTAATCTCAAGTTCTTTATCATCACTATCACTATCACTTTCATCATTTTTAATATCTTTTTCATCTTCCAACATATTAATCTATCTTGATACTAGATTTCTTCAGTTACTTTCAGTTTGAATATTAGAACTATCATTTAACGATTTATCGTCTAACACAACCAGAACATCTGACATATCTAAATCATCTGATACATTTGGATTTTCATTTTCATTTACTGAAAATTCAATATTTGTACTTTGAAATTTTAACGTATCTTCATCAATTTTTTTTGTTTAAGTTTTTGTTGCATTGAAGCATGTATCTGAGTCATTCCCAAACTTTTTTATAGTAAAAATTAATAAAAAAATTATTATTTTTATAAAATTAATTTACTAATTAAAATACTTACTGCTAAACGATTTTGGTGTTTTGAATGCAACCATCCCATTGTAGAAAAAAGTCTTTCAAGAGATGCTGTAGTTAATGCAATTGAAAAAATATGTTTAGCTACACAGTATAATTCCTTAGAATAACCACGAACATAATTCCAAAATTCCAAAATATTATTAAATTATTGTGTATTACTATTATTGTAAGGATATTTTTTTTGCCGATAAGCTTTTATCTAAACTAATAATACTATAGGATTTTTATTAAACCAAGCACAATAATAGTAATCCATTTACCAAGATGTGAAAAAGATAAAGTTTCAATTTGTGAATTAAATTTATCAGTACAATATCCTGGATGGAGTAAAAATGCCAATAGTAAAAAAAGGCTATTCCCAATAATTCCACCTTTTTTTCAAGTTTTTTTAAAAGTTTATTTTTAAAATTATTATTATCTAATGAATGCAAAACTATAACTAAATCACCAAAGCAATGCAGAACATCATGAAATTGTGAATTATGTCATTGAAGTCGATTAAGTGCAGCATAATAGGGAAGTATTATTATTTCCAATTCTTTAAGCTTTTTCCACCAATTACTATCAGAAATGCAATTAAGATGTTCTTTGGGAAAGTCATAAAGATCATTATCGTCTTGTTCCTCAATTTTTGTTGCTAAATTCTAATAATTAATTTTAATTTTAATTTTTAAGTTTAAAATAATATAAAAT